CTTTGAATTAAGAATTGATAAATTGTTACAATAATAATAAGGTTCGGAACAAGTGAAGTTAAAAATGATTTATCTATGTTTATATATAAAAATGTATTATCTATGTTTATGTACTAAATTGAGGTATGTCTATAGTAATTGAGATTTGAAAATTAGGAGTAGAAATGTATGAAAAGTATATGTAGTTTTTTTCTTCTTTTTCACGTTGATCGCAAACACTTGCTAGATTTTAGTTTCCAGATTGCTGATTGATTTGTAAATAATATCAACAACAATCTTACGACGGGGCTGTGATATCTGGCGACTGTTTGGCGATCAACAGAGCACGTGCTTGGCGCAGGTAGCTCTTCTTCGAAGAAGGGTTAATGTATTTATTGAGGAGTTGCATGTTAGCCTCGGGAAGAGGAAGGTAGTAGATTGTACTATGCGGTAGGAGCGACGTACTGCTCTCAGTAACTATTATATTATCATTTGAATTATATATTTAATAAATGTTTGTTTCGTCTTGCTAAATGGTGCCTTGTTAAACCACGAAGTCCAAGGTTTGCAAAAGCACTTGTGGTGTGTTGCTAATACTACAAAGATTTACAGAACTTCTTTCCTTGCCAGTTTCTTTTTTATTGCTGTTTAACATAGGCTTCTTAGCATTTGTTTTACTTTTAAGCGATTCTAAACACATAATTACACTGTGATTTTTATGGCAAATTGCACATTTAATAGAACTCCTGCATTTATTTGCACAATGACCAGCCTTTAAACAGCGAAAGCAGTGCCCTTTATCTTTTAAGGGTTTTTACCTTTCTGAAAATGTCTTTTGAGCCTTAAAACAATTAAATGAATCATGTTTTCCACTGCAAAACACACACTTCTTAGCGGGAGAATCAGTACTCAACAAATTTGCTGCCGTTGATGGTTGATCGTGAACAGTTTTAATAGATTTAATACCACAGATCACTTCGTTCTTCAAACCAAAACCAGCCACAGCTAAACTTATGCATTCTTCGGATTCTACTTCTAATTTCAAAAATTTTAATAAACTGTCCAGTCTGCATTTTGGGTCTGGACCATGGTCAACATTTGCACTTCTTTGATAGGCTCTTAAAAAATCCTCAGGCAAGCAAGATTCAACTAAAGGATGTTAGACTCAACTAAAGTGTGTAATGCAGCACTTTTATCTGTAGTGACGCCAAGAGTTTCCAGAGCCCGAATTTGTTGTTCCAAATTATCATATAATGCACATAAGTTATTACAGGAATGACTAGAATTTGCATTTCTCTGGTCTCAATTTATTAGAACTCATTCCAAGTCTCCTTCTGAGATTTAGAGAATTTAAATATGGTGTTATTGCAGATATTGAAAAGGCCTTTTTGCAAGTGAGCGTTCGGCTGGAAGAACGAAACTATTTGAGATTCTTCTGTTGGAATGATAGCGACTGTAAAGAAATTAAGGTAATGCAACACTACAGATTGGTCTTTGGTGCAAAGAGCAGCCTTTTTCTTTTGGGAGCAGTCTTAGATTATCATTTGGGAAGATATTTGAATGATGCCAGATATAATCAAGATTATGTTAAGATTCTTCTTTCGAGTTTCTATGTTGATAATTTAGTAACGAGCTTAAATGATACATGTGATATATTACCCTTCATTGAGACGTCTCAAACCATACTGAGTGAAGGAAAATTCAATTTGAGAGGCTGGCAGTACACTAATGATAATGGTCCTCAACCATTTACTTCCGTATTAGGACTTTTACGGGATAAAAAAAAATGATACGCTGATGATAAATCTGGACTGGTTAGACAGCTATAAATTTGAAACTTTGTCCAAAAGAATAATTCTTTCTGTCACTCATAATGAAATGCCAATTTTTTAACATACCTTTTTTTCACGTGCATACGTTTAGGCTTTACACGACCATCTCCTCCATCCTCCAGATAAGCAATTCAATTCAATTTTTCATAAGGTGTTTGATCCAGTTGGTTTATTATGTCCTGTTTTGCTGATACCCAAATTGTTATTGGAAAAGATGTGGAAAGAAAACATACCTCGGGACTCTGAAGTCAACGCTAATATAAAAGACGAATTTATGAGCTGGTTTTCAGAACTTCATTTGCTGAAGAAAGTGATCGTATTACGGTGTTTTTCAACTGATCCAAGTAGACAAAACATTTCTCTGCATACGTTTTGTGATGCTAGTCATTCGGCCTTCGCAGCAGCTGTTTACATTCTTGTAGAGACATCGGAGAATGTCCAAGTTCATCTCTTAGCAGCCAAAGCTAGAATGGCTTCTGTAAAACCCATAACTATCCCTTGATCGAAGCTGATAGCTGGTATGGTGGGGGCTCGTTTGTTTGCATCTGTTGTGAAAGGGCTTCAATGGAAAGATGTTGAACAGCATTATTGGACTGACTGAACGGTTGTTTTAGGGTGGATTCAACGTAAAGAATCTTGGACGGTATTTGTGAAAAGTGAATGAGATAAATAGTTTAATGGATCCTCTTGCATCGAAACACCTTCCTAGGATCCAGAATCCTGCTGATTTGCCTTCTCGAGGATGTTCCGCTAGACAACTGTTATCAAGCAAATGGGGGGAGGGACCCACTTAGTTATTAGAACCTTCTTCTAACTGGCCTATCACAGAACAAAATTTTGATGAACATTCTAGAGCTAAGGGAAAAAGAAAAACAAAATCTGATGTGCATTCTTCTATCTGTTCTCTAAGTTACTCACATACTTGTAGCTGCAAAACTTATGAAAAGAAAAAGGATACAGACATTATGGATCAAGTTGGTACTATTATTTTTTTTCAAGCTATGAGAAAATAATACGGTTGATTGCTTGGATAAAAAGATTTATCTTTAATTGTCTAAATGCAAAGTCTTCGCAAATTATTGGAGAGTTATCCTATGAAAAATTCAAAAATGCAGAAAAGAAAGTCATATTATTAATACAAAACGAATACTTTTCTGATCATTTAAACAAAAGAAAATTAGAATCTTTGGCAACATATAAGGATGAAGAATGAATTATTAGACTGTGAACAAAAATTACATTTCGAAAGGATACAGAAAACTTTAAACATACTTTTGTTTTACCTTGAGAACATCAGGCTGTTAAAAGGTTAATTATAACAGAACACCAGAAGAACTCTCATGCTGGTTCTCAAATATTGTTGAGTATTCTAAGAGAACATTATTGGATTTTAAACATGAAAAAAGTCATTAGATCTCTTTTATCCAAATGTGTTACTTGCTTTAGATACACAAAGAGAAATTTAACAGCACCGATATCTGCATCGCCAGAAAATCGCGCAAGAGATGCATCTATTTTTGAAGTTATTGGAATTGATATGGCTGGACCTGTGTATTTAAAAGGAGAAGCAAAGGCTTGGATTTGCCTATATACGTGTGCTGTGTATAGAGTTGCGCATTTTGAATTCAGTTCCTCACTGTCTACAGAGGCTTTTCTTCAGAGTTTCCGTCGGTTTATAGCACGCAGAGGCTGTCCTTCTGTAGTTTATTGGTACAATGGAAGCAACTTCATTAGAGCATCAAATTGTTTGAAACTCACTGATTGGAATGTCGTTGCTCAATACACCACCACTAAGAAAATTCAATGGTTTTTCAATCCCCCAACTGCCTCTTGGTGGGACAGTTTCATGTAATTGGTTCATGTAATTCATGTAGTTGGTTCGTAGATCTAAAAAAAATGAAAGATTCGAACAAGCTAGAGTTGAAGGGTATTCAGTGGAAAACAGTCAAAAAGATATTAAATCTGTAAAAACCAGGAGTGGAAGAGAAGTCAAGCCTATCCAAAGACTACACTTATAGACTTTATAAATGTTTGGACTTTAATTCAGTTCTTTTTATGCTTTTTAGTTAAGTTTTTCTTTAATATTTCTAATAGGTTAAGTTGTTTCCCAACAACTTAAGGTGGGAGGATGTTGAATTTCAAAACAATGTAGTTTGTATTTTGTACTTACTTTCCTTTAATTTTTTACTTAAATTATACTTATAATTTTACAATACTTATTACTTTTACTATTTGGCCACTAATAATTGTTGTTAGTTTGGTTTCATGAGAGTGGCAGCAGGGCAATTCATAGAATTAGGAAAATATGTTTCTATAGTTAGTTAGGCTTATTGAAGATTAATTGTATGTATATACCTGAGTGATGTTTTATTAAATAAATGAATACTTTAGAATATAGTAGTCTCTTTAGAGTCCGTGATACGCTGGTAGCATAATAGTTTGACGCGTAAGCGAACACTTAGTACTTCAAATCAGATGCCTTTTAAAATTCATTTTCAATGAGACAAAATAACTTCTTTTATTAATATAACTAACTTTATATTTCAAAAGTTATTCATTACACATCATGATTTCTATCATAAACAATAAAAAATAGCAATAATTAAACTGCATATATAAAAAATTATCTATATTTATGGTGACCACTGAGCCACTAGAGCACTGTGTCACAATGTTCACAATCCTCTAGAGGCTCGGTGGTTGTGCCTTGAAACCGCTACTCTTTACAATGGCGTCATAATATTCAATTTCTAGAGTTTTTAGTTTTTTTTTCCTACTACATCAGTAAGTTTCAAAGTCTTAGACGCGTGCTGGTTTCACAGTGCGACCACCACCCACAGAACAATGGGCAAGAGTAGATTTTTTAAAATTCATATATGTCTCTAGGATCATAATATTAAATTTCTAGAGTTTTTAGTTAAAAAATTATAAAAATAATATTGTACATGTCAAAGAATTAAACAAACACAGGAAGCTAAAACAAAGTTAAAACTATCATGGTCACCAGAAAAAATTTGCTGCTCTCTTAACACACAGAGACCAACAAATAACTAAAAATACACAAACAGAGAGGAATAAATAACCAAAAATACATATTTCTTAACATAAAAACATTAAACAACAAATATTTTCACAAAAATTAACACATAGAGACAAATAAATAAATGAAATGCCAATTTTTTAACATACCTTTTTTTCACGTGCATACGTTTAGGCTTTACACGACCATCTCCTCCATCCTCCAGATAAGCAATTCAATTCAATTTTTCGGCGTTTCGGCTCATTCACTGTTAATTAACATTCAGCCTCTTATTCACCTCAGACATGCTCAAATGATGATACTCGCAGCAAAATAACAGCAAGTTCAAAAGCCAAGCCACACATATGCAAGCAAACACAGCAACTGAAGAGAATAGAAAGAACCCAAAACCCGGATCCATACAAAAAATCTCAGCAGACTTCCAAATTTACCAGACTTCCAAAACCAATAACTCTTGGCAATTTTTTCAGAAAAAAAAACAAGGGATCTGTACAGTAAAGATTAGCCTAAAGGGCAAAGCCTTGCAACCTCTACAAATCTTTTTACATAAACTGTGCATTACCAAGCAAAAATACAGCACCTATGACAAAGAGATCTTACCAACATTCAGCCATAAAACAACTTCAGAATAGTTTGCAGGGCAAGCATTTCACAATATACATGGATAATGACACATTGACCTTCATTTTTTTTTAAAAAAAGATCTAATTTGGGTTCCCGTCAGCAGCTTGGAAAATTTGACTGCATATCACAATTCAGAATTGCAAACCAGACATGTTACTGGATCCAATAGCACTTGTGGCTGACATTTTATCCTGGATAAATTAGATCAATTTAGCTTCAACCTACTTTTCCATTATGGTTGAGGAGCAGGATAAAAATACACACTTATCTAACCTACCTGACAAGCCTCATATATCAATTCAATTTAAAATTTTACGTATGTGTCTTAATTTAAAATCTTACTGTTATGTTAAAACAGTTACTGGAAAAGTTTAACTATGCATTCCATACAAGTTGCACTATTCAACCTATAGTTACCTCTAGTGGTATCCAGTATTATCCTCCCATCCAGGTATTAAGACCTGTGATTATTTGTGTAGCCAGGGATATTAAAAGACATACTGAATTAGGCATGGTTGTGCATAGACTGTCAGAAGTCAAAATTCATTTATACATTTGTAGCCCTTTATAATGGTTTCTTGTTTTTTCTCGAAGATTTAAGCATGTTCACAGTGACATCATGGAACCCTGCCTCCATTTAAGGCATATACATAACTTATCACCTTTATATATTGCTTTTCTCATTAGCCCCAAGCAACACTTGACCAGGATATTATGGCTGAAACAGTTGCTCGAACACTGGTTTGACAAATTACTAGTCTCAAAAATTATAACTGTGGATGAAACAATTCAAATCAAGGTAACAATCTGAATCTTATTTAATTTTCTTACTCAAAAAGGTTTTAGGAATTTGCCATATTCAAACTTCTGCATATCATCCACCTAGCAATAGGCTGGTTGATGATGATTTCACTAGACTTTTAAGCAAGCCTTAAAGTGTCATCATAACACATGCTGGAAAGAAACTTTACTAATTGTCCTTCTCGGCCTCCACTCAACTTTCAAACAGGACCTTAGTAGTATCCGTTTTGAGATGCCCTATGGAACTTTACCTTCACTAGGAGAATTCTCACAACTCTTTAATTACCAACTGCAGACAGATCCTGTTGTTTTCCTTCAGCATTCATGCAACAGCATGGGGTAATTACCTCCAGTTTCTACTTCTACACACATTAAACCTGTTTTGTGCACCCCTCCTTAGAGATTTGCTAACATGTTTCTGTGCACAATGAAACAGTGAAAGCACCACTGACACAGTCGTATAATGATACCTATAACACTGTCGAACGGACTGGTAAATACTGGTAAATACCATTTTGATAAATGGAAAAGAATATATTATTGAAACTGACTATTTGAAGCCAGCCTTCACTACTATCACCAATGACTCCAGTTATTCCTAGTAACAATTCACTAACAGCACCAATTATTCCTAGTGATAGTTTACCAACCCCAAGCACTAGTTCAGCATAATCATGAAATGCAGTGCCAGCTTTGCCTCCAAAGAAAACAACTCGTTCTGAAAGAGTAATGAGATTTAATCCTCGCTACATATATGATGTGTCAGTATATACAGTACTTGGGGAGAGAGGAATATTGTGACAGTTTAACTGTACCTAGATTTTTATACTCATTTACTTTCTAACTCTTTATTTAATTGCATTATTTCATAACTAAAACTGTAACTTTTAACAAACTTTATACATGTAACTGCAATCATATTTGTATATCAATTGGAATGTAGTTCCACTCATGTTTGTATGTAAACACATGCATCCTTGTAACATGTTTTTGTTAAATATAAAAGTTATTATGTTGTGAAGATGACTATTGATTTATTTTTCTAACTGAATTACTTCTCTTACATGATTCTCTTCTTAATGAGCATAACCTAGCACACTATTATGATATACCCGATATAGCTCAAAAACATCAAGGAAAATATATATGCTTAAAAAAGAAAAAAGTGAAAGAACTCGTATGAAAATTAGTCCATACTGTGAGTGGCTTACATCTATTTTGGAACACTTAAGTTTTTCAATTTTATTTTTAAATATTAGTGAGATGGCTTAGTTTTCTTTGCTATTTCTTTAGTAGTTATTTGTTTTTGGTAAAAATATAGCTTATTAAAAAGTTCTGAAAATGAACTTTTATCACTATTCAGAGTCTTTAGCAAACAATTTATATTTAATGAAAACAAAAACATAACGAGACACACTTTGTTAGGTATCCTTTAGCTAAAATTACACTTTTCATGCACTTTGGCATGGATTTAACTAATTTTTTTTTTAGTAAGACTGTTCCATTCCTGCATAAGAATTGCTTTTAATACTTTCAAAGAAATGTAATGTTTACTTGTTCTTTTCTCCAAGTAACTCCATACATGTTCAATAAAATTTGAATTAAAAAAAAATTGAATTAAAAGAGTTCTGGCAATTTCAGGACAGTTGCATAATAACCTCAAGGAAGCATTTAGGGCTGTAGGTTTAGGATTGTTATCCTGATAGAACTTGAATATATTTTGCATTCCATGTTTTCTTCCAGATGTTCTTACCATTTCATTAAGAATATTTTTTATTTATACTAATCTATATTATTTTCTATAAAAAGTAAATTTTTCATCCCAGAAGCAATGAAACAGTAATAACAATCAATAAATATTTCACATTCATCTAGCTTTTGCCTCGCAGCAGTCCATTCATTGGACCCAAAAATATTAAATTTTCATTTATCGGCAAATATAACATTTTCTCCATATGATATATTCAAACTTTTCCATTATGGTTTGGTCTATTGGTTTATATTAATATGGCACAGTACATGAGGACCATCTGTTTAACAGAAGCGATGCCTTTGTGAACGACTTTCTAGGGGAAACTAGCTTGTATGCAGGTTACACATAGGGAAAACACCAATGCAGCCAGCCTGTTTACTCGGAACCAAACACAATTTGAATTACCAGTGTTCTGCAACTTTAAAGCTGTCACTGGTTGGCCACTTTTCCATTATACTCCTGCTATGCATTTTGGCAATTTTTTTAATTGTAGGCAATTTCTAGTTATTATAGTAGTTTATAGATATACATACACACACAATGATAGCCCATATAGCACTACATTTTGGTCGAGTCCTGTGTTTGGCTTCTTTTCACAGGCATAAAAAGAATGAAAAAGTACCAATAAATCTTTACTTACCATGGATTTTATGAATGCTAGGTGTATTTTCATTGTTTTCTAGTTGATGAAGAATTTCATTCTTGCTAATTGTTCCATGTAGCCTAATGACTTTTCTAAAAGTTTTAGGATTAAATTTTATTGCTAGCCATTCTTCAAACTCCACTACTAGTTTTACATCATTAATTAATTAAATCTCTGATTCTTTCACGTTAGCTTAGAATAAAAAAAAAAAACTAAACTCAATGGGGTAACAGCCCTCAGTGAGCCTAGGCCTGAAATGCCCTTATACAGTCAAAAGTCGTTAATCCGGACTCGTAGGGACTTCGGCGATTCCGGATTATAGATCATCAGTTTAAATCTCATAAGAAGGCATGCAGAAATTCTAAAATTAAAAATATGAAACCGTAATTTATGAAATAAAGACAATTATGATCTAAAGGTATCAAAATTTACAAAAAAAAAAAAAGCTTAATATTTATTTGTTTACTCTATTAAACATTTCTTTCAATGTAAGTTGTTTAAGTTGCTTCGTTTTATGTGATAATACTTCTCTTTAATTCTATAAAAGACATAATTTCTTGTTCAGTTACAAGTTCCGCTGTCAAGTCCTGTAATTGCTGTGCCGAGAATACCGTCGGTAACAACGTTTGGCACAGCATACGGGACTTGCCATCGAAATTTTTTCGTTCACCAACCTCTCTGTCACCTTCATTTTTATCCATTTTTTTGCAGCAATTCCACTTTTTGTTTGATGGACATCGAAACATACTTTCGTTTTGTAGATCCTTGGGAGTCCGCATCGGATTCTATTTGACATAACGAAAGTTCAAGTTTACTTTTTAAAAACTGCTCTTACAGTCCTGAAAAAATAAGCCAGATCCGGTTCAAAGATTAAGGAACAACGCAATCATCAACATTAACTGAAATAGAATTAGATAATTTAGCTTACCATCCGTTTACATTAAACGCACGCGAAAACGTATTCCTTGTGCACACGCATATGCGCAGTCGTAAAGGTCTTACGCGCACGCGTAAACGCCTATGCGCATGTGTCAATGCGGCACATGCGCAGAAAGTTTTTAGCTTTGAGGTCCAGATTATAGATCATTCCGGATTATGGGTGTCCGAATTAACGACTTTTGACTGTATCTGCTTTCTAAACAGTGGTCTCTGGAGTTGCATGAGCGTCTCTACCTTGGACAAGTGGTCAGCTTGTCATAGGACCCCGGTGTTTAATACGCAAGTGAACTAAAGGGATAAAAGGCTGAGTCAACCTTCCCCAGCACAGGGTTCGAAACCTGGATTTGTGGTGCTGCTGCACGACACACTCTCCACTGCACCACTGGGCCTTGTTAACTTGAAATATCAATCAGATTTCAATGCATTTCAAACAGCTCCATACAAGTCACCTTATTTTGATACATAAAAGATATATGAATGTTTTGCACCAAAGAGGTTTTGCATATTGAACAGATTTATAATCTTTAAAATTGTAAAAAGTTGTATTTTGAACAGAACTTGTCATTAGTTCATAGCTTCTTGCGATA